AAAAAAAAAAAAAAAAAAAAAAAAAAAAAAAAAAAAAAAAAAAAAAAGGAGACAAGAGACAAAAACAAAAGAAAAAACAGACATTAGTTCAACCAAAAATGTTAACCGAGGACACAACTTGACACAAAACAGGCAACAGATCGGGCAATGGTGGAGATAATGGCAATACAAGCGGATTGGCACATATACACACACACACACACACACACACACACACACACACACACACACACACACACACACACACATTTATACTAGCTCACAAGAGCAAATGCTTTTATTTCATCTGACCTGATAATTACTGTTGCATTCACCGACAATAACAATAAAACAACACTGAAATATCAACTGGCAAACACTTTGAGGAGTTAATGTTGAGCCCTGGACTATAGTAGTAATGGTGTTTACAGTAGCAGCTATAATGTTTACCGTGTTTAACTTGTTAGCATGCTAACATTTGCTAATTCAAATAATTGCTAACTTAACACAGTGCAGGTGAGGCTGATGGGAATGTCATTAGTTATGCAGGTATTGGGTCATAAACCAAATAATTTGACAGTTTTACAATTCGACCCCATGACAGCACTTCCTAAATTCTGAATTTGTGTACAACACTTCGTTACAATCCATGAATAGTTTTTTAACTTAAACCCACAAATGTCAACTTCATGGTGAAGCAAGAGGAAAAGTCACCAAAGTCATTAGGATATATCATCTGGGAACCATGAATGTCAGTCTATCTGATATAATTTCACATGAGTTAAATACACCATAAATCAGGGTATGATTTAGGGCGTGGCTATCGTGTAATTGAGAGGTTACCACGTCTGGGAGTTTCCGTGTTTTTGATCAGTTCATGAAAGTTAATTCTAACATTTTGGTTCGTCTTTAAATGCCTTTGCGATGGCCAAATTGTTGAACCTTTAAAACCACAAACTAATTGGTGAAATCACGGTCACTACATCCACTTCTTTTAAACAGTCTAGATTCCATGGTACAATTCATGCGTTTCCTGCTTTGACATTTACAGTATAAATTCTGTGGATATTGGGAGTCCATTACCAGGATTTCATTATTATAGGTATTAAAAGGATACATTTACAGTTTTTATCTCTTTCATTTAAAGAGATGTAAGCACATTGCAACCAAAAAATTGTATTAAGTCCAACCCACAGCGCAGCAAAAGGAGCTTTCATTGGCCAGATGTTGACCTCTGGCCCCAAACACCTCCAAACAGCAGCTAGCGAAAAATGGGCGCTGATCACGTTTACTCACCATGGTCATACAACGCATCAGGAGCAGTTACTACACTCACATTCACAATCATCTCTCAGACTTGCAGAATATTCCTTATCTCTTCAGGTGGACATGTGGCTTTTGTGGAACTGCCCATTTCACAAGAGCTCAATTAGCACATGATCCCTGCGGCTGCAGCGGATGGCGTGGAAAACTGACGTCAGAGTCATACCTAAAACGACGCTGGATCGCCCTAATCCAGTCAGACGAAACCCAACCACAGGCAGGTCAGCAAACAGAGAGACAGAACAATGCCACTGATTGGATATTGCTCAGTTAATCAGGAAGGGAACGCAAAATGCTAAGTCCTGATTGGTTACGAACCTTAGAGCCACTGTCTGAGAGGATAGACAGTACTAAGAGCTGCTTACAACAATAAGGCGAACAGATTAGGCAACTCTCACTGAGCGTCAGAGGTCGATTAACAAGGCTTTGTGGGCGAGCAATCAACAGAGTGGGTTTTCTAATTTAATCTTGGCTCAGCTCGTTTTCCTCACGGTGGGAAAGTTGGCCACTCCATCTGGGTTGCAAAACACTGACCTACGGTCATGGGGGCACGGGGGATGTTAGCGGGGTTTGCGACTTGAAGGTCTGGGAGGAATCCCGGATAGTTCTTCTGAAATAGTTCACGGATTCATATCCAACCAGTGTGATAATTTGACCATGGCATTTTCAGTTTGGTTAAACAAAAGATAAACTCATGGCAATTGTTGCCAACTTCCTCAACTGACAGACTTTATGAAAGCCTCACCTGATGATTAGTGCTGATTAATTATGCAGATGAGTGTGTGGGGGCGGGGTGGAGACTGACGGGAGAGACAAAGTGAGCGGCTATGAATAATCTCAAAGTGTCACTAATAAAAATCAACTGTGACAAAGCAGCCTCAGAGGGGTTTTACTGGTACAGTGTAATGAGAGACACAGTTGGATCCCTACATGTGGCAGGCCTGTATTAGTATTTGAAAAGCTTTCTTGACTATACATCAACAATCAAGCAGCGGAGGCTGGTGGGTAACTCGACTACAGGGGTGCATCTAATTGCATGACAGGCCAATTAAAAGGGTTCTTTCCAGCTCAAGTTTGACTCATTCAATACGTAGACATGTCCGGGAAAAATAGCTCATTTGATACTTTGTAAAACCTATTATACGTACAGCACAGTTTTTCTTTTCAAAAAAGAGTTTCAAAGAAGAGGCATTGTAAAAAAAAAAAAAAAAAAAAAAAAAAACTTCCACTCCCATAATAAAATGTAATCATCGTGTGAAGTGTAAGAGGTCAGTGACAACACAAGCTCACACCACATAGGGGCTTTGAAAGGACCCCCAAACCTCTTATCATATTCATGTGCAGCGTAGCCAATTTTCTCAAGCTTCAGGCAAGATATTATGTGCCTCAAGCAATTGAGAATGTGTGGGTGGGACAGCTTCCTTCCATCTCAATAATACTGCACATCTAGCAAAAAGGAGCCAGAGCATTAGGTTTAGTTGTGTTCAAATGTGCAATCGCATCAGAAATTCCAAATAAGGCTGGTTGGGGGAAATCTGGTTCGATTGCACAGTTTAGAGTCTGAGAAAGTGTTAAAATACATCTCTCCAGAATGAATCTAAGCTGTCGTTAGAGAGGGAGTGGTCTATATCTTTCTGCCAAGCTGCTTGTATTTTGGTTGAAGGGGCACAGTTCAGGCCTTATACTATTTAATCACAGAGAACCGATATGGGCCATCTTTAGTTATTGGATTGAAGGCAAGAGCCAGATCGATTAAACTGGTGTCAGGTGCCTTGGGAAGGCGGGATATTCGACACTGCATAGTGGGCCCTTCAGTGGGTTAAGTCCAGACAGTTGATCGAATAAGCAAAACAGTTTGGAATTCCAGTTTTTGAACAATTCAGGGATGTTGCTTATCAATTTCAATAGCGTTTTGTATGGGAACATCTTCTTTCATGTGCCACAATAGGATAAAATCCAACCTGTTAAATATACTTTTAGGGCGTCCCAAACTGTGAGGTAGGGCATTTCAAAAGTTTGAGTCGAAGAAAAATTGCTCATCCATTAAAAGGTTTCTACGTGAAATTCAGAGCATTAATATAGCAGCTAACACAAATGGTCTCTGTAAAGACCCAGAAATTAGTCTGCATTTTGGCACTTCCTGACCCTTAATGTCTATTTTTTTTTAATGGGTTTTAGGTTAGATGCCTGAAATAATGTCTTTGGATGACACAAGCTTGAGAGATTTAAATTTTTTGTTCTACCACATAAAATACTTGTGAATTTTGAAGCTTTTACGTGTCTTAAAAATGGCAGATGTTAGCAAGTGGCTGAATGAGACTACAAAACCTCATCATGCCGACTAGTTTGCCTTCAGCTGTGTGGTGATGTGAAGTCATGTGACTATAGTGTAGTTTGTTTATAGTATTGTTAATAGTTCATTTGTGAAGATTATCTTGCCAAACAAAATGTCTAAGTACCATAAACCACTTTTAATCAGGAGCAGGCCTGGGAGACTAATTCATCAATAAGTAAATTTATTATTACTTTATTTTCTGGAATTGTATGGTGAACATGCAAGACAAAATACATTTTTACTACATTCACTTTAAAAGGCTCTTCCAAAAGTGTCTGACTGCTAAAAAAGCACACTCACACCGAAGGTCGGATTACAGACACTGGGAAAGATGACAGCTGACAATCATAATGTACGTTTTAACAGAATCCACATGACTTTCCAGAAACAGTCCCATACGTCTACCCTGTCTTTGTCTGAGACAGCAGATGGACTTTGATGACCCAGTTTTTCATTTAAGCGTAAACCAAACATCAGGTCTTAGACAAACCGGAGGAGTAAAGCAATCCATGGCACCAGGATATTAGCGGATATGGTGCATTGTGAGACTGAAAATACAGAAAACAAGGCTGGACGTGGCAGGTACTGCTGCACTACTGGGCGGTGAGCAGCCTGCTGTGTTAGATAAAGGCAAAGTCAGATAATAGGACTCAAAGCAAATAGACGTCACAGTGACGACTCGCACATTTAGATACCAAAGTAGTCTGCCGTTCTACTGCGAAGGACAAAACATAATAGACATGTAATATTTGGCCCATAATTCGACCTTGGGTGCAGGTGTATTCACATATGAGTTATGCAATCATTGTATCGCCTCTCTACCACAGAACAGGCAAGTTTCACACTATTTATATTCAGATTTTGTTTGAGCAAATGTTTTGTCGAATGTTTTAAGTGTGTATCGGTGCATGTATGTCAGACAACCTCAACTGCATTAACAAGAGGTCAAATAAAAACAGAACAATGACATCGTCACCGAAAGGTGGTTTGGTTGTCGATG